AAATAAATAAAATAAAGTCCATCAACAGCTCAGAAATATTTTTTTAAAAAGTTGGAATTAAAAGATGAAATATTAACTGAGTAATGTAAAGCAAAGCCCATAGGTAGTAGAATAACTTGGAGGCAGTAGAGTCTTCCTAGGTCTCTGGAAATCAGAAAGCTCCACAAAAGTGATTCAGGTTTCCTAGGCATGTGTTCTCATAGTACAATGTAGATTTCCTTCAGAGGTACTTGGTAACCATATTTGGGTGATGACTTGACAATGTCTAGACTAAACCATGAAGTTATATGCTTCAAGGTCAGGACTGTGTCTAAAATGACACTGACTATATCGTGGCACGTAATTTGTTGATTGAATAAATTTGAGTTTTGCCTACTTAACATAAAGGATTTAGTCCTTTAAAAAAACATCACTTGGGGCTGAGATTGTGGTTCAGCGGTAGAGTGCTCACCTAGCAGGTGCGAGGCCCTGGGTTCGATCCTCAGCACCATATACAAATAAATAAATAAAATAAAGGTATTATGTCTAATTACAAATAAAGATAAATGTTAAAAATAAATATTTTTAGTTGTAGATAGACACAATACCTTTATTTATTTATTTGTATGTGGAGCTAAGGATCAAACCCAGGGCCTCGCACCTGCTAGGCGAGCGCTCTACCGCCGAATCACAACCCCAGCCCACTAAAAAAAATTTTTTTTAAATCACTTAACTGTATTTTTGTCTCACAGGCCAGTTTTTGTTCATACTTCCAACCTCAGGATGTTACTTGATTCTTCAACTATGGTAGATAGTTGGGTATAAGCTTAGGATAGAAAATCTGAAATTGATGAGATCCCAGGACACTGATAGTTGTAATTTCTTTTCCTTCCCCCAAACTGTTGGCAAACAAAGTCAAACACTTCAGGAAATTCAACATCCAAGGAAGGAGCTTTGGGGCAGGATTAAGTGATAGGAGTGGGAGAGTCTGGTTCTGGAGGATGCTCATCTCATTCTGTGTTACAAGCCTATAGTTACAAAGCAATTGGAAACCAATGGTTTAACTAAGGTTATTTAACTCTGAGAATCCTTGGGAGTCTATCACAACCACCAACCCATCAACTATACATCTGAGACAAAAGAAGAAAACTTAAAGAGTATGAGTCAGACAAATGTGGGTTCAAATGATGTATATTAAATTTTTTCCAGGACCATGTTGCTTGCCTGCCAAATTGGAATAATAATATCTTAGAAATAAAATATTCTTCTAAGTACCTCCATTAATCAGTTACTTGTAGGCAGGGATCATTTGATTTGTTTATATTTATTCAGTTTTTAATAATGTTGGGTCCATAGTAGATACTCAGAATAGGTGAATTTCTTCTTGCAGGTGATCCAAGACCTATAAGCTTCATTAATAATGGACTCTTAGGGCAATTAGATTTCCTCCCTTTCTTGAACTCAACATTCCCTTCTGTAACACAGGATATTCTCTTAGTTTCTTTCCAACTTTAGTATTTGATGAACTTGCCCCTTCAGTAACTCTACCCCACTGCTGCTCCCCATTAGTAATGCTACAGACTGAGGAAACCTAAGTCACACACAATTTTGTATTTACAGATACACATGCATTTACAACAAATTATATAAAACAACTACAATACTATTGCACTCACAGCCTATTTTTGCCTCTTTAAAGGTCAAGAGGTTTTTTTTAATCTTCTTTTATTTGGATTGTTTAGAAAGATGAAATCCAGGACAAGTTGCCACTAGCACATATTATTTTGCTTGAACCTTGGTGGTTAATTGCGCTATTACTGTGATTGATGAACATTGCACTGCAATCAGCTGGAAGCTGCTGCCTTCCACTCAACAGAAATGAGGTCACAGAGCAGGGCTGGGGAATTGCCATCTAGCAAGCAGGTCTGTTTGTTGCCCAGTAGAAGAGTTTGCCACTAGAACATTTAACTCTTGATTCCATCTGTTGTGAAGATTCTTGCTCCCTTGACTGGCTCCTGCCTTTTAAAGACTTTATAACAGTTTTAAGTAAAACAATTAATCTTTGGATGTTCAGTAGGAGAGAACAGACTATTGGATATAGTTACTAAAATATCCAGAGTAGGGACCTTGGCCTGAAATCCTACTACTAAGGTAGATGCCCAGAGAAAATAGTAATCATCCATGACACTGTATGCAATTTTATGGAGTAAAAAGCACATCCCAGGGCTGAGGTTGTAGCTCAGTGGTAGAGTACTTGGCCAGCATGTGTGAGGCACTGGGTTCAATCCTTAGCACAGCATTAAAAAAAAAACAAATAAAATAAAGGTATTGTATCCATCTACAACTAAAAAAATAAAATAAAATAAAAATTTTAAAGCACATCCCAGGCTGGGCATGGTAGTTCACACCTGTAATCCTAGCAACTCGGGAGGATTGCAAGTTCTAGACCAGCCTCAGCAAATTAGTGAGGCATTAAGCATCTTAGTGAGTCTCAAAATAAAAAATAAAATGGACTGGGCATGTGGCTCAGTGGTAGAGAATCCCTAAATTCAATCCCCAAGTCCAAAACAACAATAACAAAAAACAACACACACACACACACACACACACACATCTAGAACCAAACCCCTGAGAAGGGAATATATATTTCCATGATCAGAGAAGTCAATCAAGTCAAACCCCTAACATGCCCCATTGCAGTAGCATGGAGGCTGCTCAAATCATTGCATGAGAGTCAGATAAGTATAACCTGACAGAGGCAAATGTAGGAAAAGCCAGTACTTGGCCCTGAGAAGTACTGGGCATTTTCTATTTAGGCCCATGGGATCTGGTTGCCTGGGAGACTAACTCTGCTTTCCTGAGCATGAGACATCCATCACCTCAGATTAGTCTGAGTAGTTGAGCAATTTGTTAACAGATTAAAGACATAAGTCTTTTCTCTAGTGTATCTGCAATCTGATGGCCCTGGCATTGTATCCTAATGTGTCTCTCATGTTTGTGTGATCTTGCTCAAGTTTCTTGTCTGAATAATATCTATCTAAAGGAGATGAAATATAAAATGTGGTTAAGAACACAGAACTTGTAGCCCACAACCTGGAACCCCACCCCAACCATTTATTCATTATGCGACCTTAGGCAAACAAGAACCTCTTTGTACCTTCTTTTCCTCATCTTTTTAATTTAATTTTATTTTTGCAGTGCTGAGGATTGAACCCAGGGTCTCATGCATGCTAAAGCAAATACATTTCTGAGCCGCACCCCTAGCCCAATTTCCTCATGTTTAAATGAGGTCAATTACAATGCCTTCCTCACAAAGATGTTAGGTAGATAAATGAGTTAATATGTATAAAGTGCTTGGAACAATGTCTAGTGCAGAGTAAGCATGACATCTGTGTTAGTTGAAATGGCATTGGGATGATAATCCTGATCGATCAGATTCGTTCTGAAGATGAACTAAAATGCTGAAGGTAAAAATAAAATCACAGAATTATTTGTGCCTGAATAGACCTAAGATCATGCAAATAAAATCCCCACTTTATAAGTGAAAAATCAAGACTCAGAGATGGGAGGTAGCTGGTTCAGAGCCATACATAATTAAATGGCAGGGTCCAGGTCTCCTAACTGCAAGTCCAAATTTTGTCCTCTGCATTGCATCAAAAAAAAAGCAACATTTCCATAGAGATGACTCTGGATGGTTCTTTTATGTGGTCATTTGACCTGTTGCCAGCTAATGCATTTTCCTAGGACAATGAAATGTGTTTGAAATAGAAAGAAAACTGAGAAAAGGCTCTTTCCCTAAACACACACTGACTCTTGAAGTGGCACGTTAGTGTAGGAGAGAGAAGGCTAAGGATTTGGGCCATGGTTGAGAGGAAACATTTTCAGAAATCATTGCTAGTTCCATGTCATTACTTCAGATAACCCCAAATGTGTCCCTGTGTCCACAAGCTGGAATCATAAACTAATCCATTCAGGCTTCAGAGTATCTATTTTGGGGGGTTAGGTTGGTTTGGTTGTTGTTGTTTTCTTCAGGTGCTTAATTAAGGGGCTTCCACCAGAATGGGCTCTTTGGTAGACACCAAGGTGTCACTCCCAGGACAACAGGATTGATATTGGGACCTCTGTGTTCAGTTTTCCCGAGTTTTTCAGGGCCATTCCCCTTTTGATTTATTCTGCTTTGGCTCACATTTCTCAGTGGAACTGCTCAGAAGTAGCTGACAAGTGGGTTAGAGGAAAGGGGCAGGATGGGAGAAAGACCCTATGAAGAACAACAGAAGTTTAGAGGGATTTGATCTAGAGAAAAAGTAAGTCCTAGAGGTCATTATTCTTGTTCTCAAATTATTGGAGGGTATCATGGGCAGAAAGAGCAGAGGCAGCAAGATCTCTGACAGCAGAGCTGATACCATTGGGGTGGGAAGGGGAAGAAGAATTTCCAAGAGGCAGATTCCAGCTTGAAGCAAGGAAAACTTTCTGAGTCTGAGAGCTGTGCAAGGATGGGGTCCCTGCATGAAAGCTGTGCTTTAAAAGAAAGAGAATTGGTTGCAGGGCCTGACAGCCACTTATCAAGAGATGGGAAGGTTGGGACTGATTAATTAGACTAGGTATCTCACCAACTCTTAAAATTTTCAGGTCCTGGGAGCCTAAGATCCAAAGATCAATTTCGTGGAGTCCCCACAATCAAGAACCAGCTGGAAAGAAGCAAAATATGAAACTAATGACCCATTCTTTATCTTGCCTGTTATTTCTTTTTCTCTTTCTTGCACTCATTGCTTGCTATTTCATATAGCAGGTACCTTTGACATTTGCAGGAGATAATCCTTTTAAGTATATTTCTGACTCAGCCTTTGCTCCTTCAGCATCACTAGAGAGTCTGAGCTCTCCAGAGATTAGTGCTGGCCTGTCACCACAGCAACTGCCCAGGCCCTGTGGGCATCCATTGTAACAAGCATGGGACTTTGTGAGCCAAAGCTCGACTTTGGTGAGAAAAAACTCCACAGGGAGCCTGATATGAAGCAAGAAGGTTGTACTTCGGGAAGTTTTCTTTAATAGGATTAGCTGTAGAGGTAGGACTCACTTTACACATTTGGCCAGCTCCTGAAAAGTGTGGGTGTGTGACAAATTTTAGTAAATGGAGGAAATCTCATCATAAAGGCAGAAAGTAAACTCTTCACAAGTCCCTGATTTAAATCCTCTTCATAAAATGGAGTTTTTAAAGGGAATCTCCACCAATGCCATGTCCTGTGCTGTTAGTCTAGTACTGAGCATCTGTAATTGGGGCCACCTGCAGAGAACTCCCCAGGGGATGGCAAAGAACAGCAGCAACTCAGCTTGCTGGGGGCTAGGAATGGACAATGTATAACAAGGAGAAGCAAAGTGCACATGGGGGCACAACAGGGGTAGGCTTGGAGAGTGGGCCTTGCCTAGCATGAGCAGTTCTGCTGCAGCAGTGGTGGGGTGTCCGAGAGACGTGTATTCTTAGAGGCACCCAGCACAGAGGGGTCCGTGTCCAGCGAATCAGACATCTTATCACAAATGGCATCCACCAGGCGCTCGAAGGCCTGCCTCACACTGATGTTCTCCTTGGCACTGGCTTCAAAGAAGTCAAACCCTAGGAGAGAAGAGACACAGGTACATAGTTTCCCCATTCCTTCAACTGGAACCTTTTTGTGCCCCCAGCAGAGTACTCTGGATCAATATGGCCTGTACTCAGAAGTGAAGTGAGGAGGCCTAATTCCACAGGCAGAGGGTACTGCTTCAAGGAGACAGTATAGGGCAAGGGTTACCTGCACAGGTTGTAGAGTCAGACAATCTACCATTGACCCAGCTATTTAGTCCCATGCAAATCACTTGTTCTCTTTACAAATCAATTCCCAGGGTTGTAAATAGTGATAATTTTACCTACGTCACAGAGTTATTTCAAGTACAAAACAAGATAATGCATGTGAAGTATATGGCCCGATTCCTGACACAGAAGGAGTGTCATAAGGTGTTTGCTTAAATATGTGAGCATTTATACTTCTTAAAGCATTTAGTACATCCATTATCTCATTTGCTTTTCACATTATCCTCTCCATATCACTAGTGCAGACACTGTGGCCTAGGGAATTAAGCTGGCTTGCCCAAGGTAAGTAAAAACACCAGTATGAGAAGCCTCAGTTTTGGACTTTTTGATCAGGGATTTTCTTCTTTCCCCTGCTTCTCACCCAAGTCCAGCCAGCTCTAATCTGGGCTCTGGGAGGCAGCCCAAGAGCCACAATGAGCTGGGCATGGTGGTGTATGCTTGTTATCCCAGTGACTCGGAGGCTAAGACAGGATATCACAAGTTTAAGGTCAGCCTCAATAACTTGAAACCCTATCTCAAAATAAAAAAGGACTGGGATACAGCTCAGTACCCCTGGGTTCAGTTCTCAGTAGAAAAAAAAAAAAAAAGCGCCACAATGAATAAGTGAAGTTTTATTTGATCCTTTCTACCCACAAACACACTGGCTTGTCTCCATTCAGTGAGGTTCCTCCTCCCTAAAGCCTAAAATCCACTAAAATGATTCTATATATCTTTCCTTCCCCTCAAAAGCCCAATAAAAGGCCCAGGGGAAACTGCCTGAGGTGTGCCACATTCTTGTCTGGTTTTTGAGATCTCTGACAACTCTTTCTGTGACAACGAATAACACTTGGTTGTCCCAAGAGAAACAATCCAAGGCCCTCCTAGTTCAGACAATGTGGCCTGTCCCACCTGAGGAATCCTGACCAGGTTGGTGGCAGCCCTCAGAAGCAGAAGCGCCCTTCCCATCATGTCCCCAGGGCAGCCCATTCCCTCCCCTTTTTCTTCCTTCCTTCCAAGTCTTCATTTCTTTTCAAAAGCCTCTCTTCCTTTTTTTCTTTTTCTTTTCATTTAGCTCATTTCCCCCTTATGTTCCTTGAACTTTCTGTTGAGCATCTACTATCTATGTTAGGAGCTTTAAAATATCATTACTTAATCCTCACAAGAGCCTGTCATCATCTCCAATTTACAAATGAGAAGACAAAGGTTTCAAAGTTCTGTGTAACACTCATACATGTGGCTGTGTTAGTGGAAATCAGGTTTATACCTGTGTTTGCCTGAATCTGAAGTCTATATAGAGCCCTGCCTCTCGTTTCTTCCTCTTTCTTCCTTTCACTTGGCATTCTTTCTTCTTGATCATATCTTTTTTCTTCCTTTAAAGTCTGTTTGCTTGATCTTACTACCACAGTGTCTGAATCTGGGAGAGTCACTGCACCTGTCTGAATCACTTAACCTCTCTGATTCTCAGGCTACTCATTTGTCAAGTAGGAATAACAACAGAGTCTTCCTACTGAGAGCAGTTGGGAGGATTGAGTGAGAAAATGGATAAATTGCTGAAAAAAGTTGCCTGTTATAACGTTTCTTTCTGCTCTTCTTTCATCTTGCTCCTCTCACCTCTATATCTTTCTCCCTCTTTTATCATCTCTTCCCACAAAGGGGAGAATATCTTTCTTCCTCCCACCTCCCACCTGTTACTCCACCATCCACAGAGCAGCCTGAGGCCCTAGGTACAAATGAGGCTCCTTTTCTCAGCCTTCCCAGCATAAAGGCACTCACAGCTCCTGCCAGCCCAGCTCCAGCTGCTAGCCTCTCCGGTGGCTGAGTTCCTGACCTGAGAAAAGCAAGCTGCAGAAGTGCTCGCTAATTGTGGATATGTGACGAAGAAGAAGAAGGCAGCTGCTGGCTCATTATCCTCAGCATCAGAGACCCTTCAGCATATAGCTTTTCCTTAATGAATATCACAAAAATTAGCTCCTTGGTATTTGACTGGCTTATGGCAAGTGGCAGTGTTTGGGCATGTGGAGGGGAGTGTATTGCTCGCCTAAGAAAGGAGCAAACAGATAAAGTAGTAAGTAGGCTTTCACCATCAGTATAGATGAAGGTGAGAAAACAGGTCAAAGCCAAAGGCACCAATTCCTTCTGAAGAACTGACTCTGAGGGAAGGACATGACACATTGGAAGGTGGGCATTGAGAAAAGGCCTGAGAGCCAGCCTGGATTTTAATACAGCCTGTCAGTTACTAGCTCTGTGACCTCAGGGAAATTCCCTAATGACCTTCAGCCTCTATGTCCTTTTCTGTAAAATGGGGTCAGTGCTATATACCTCATAGGGTATTAATTATAATTAAACACGCAAAACTATGTGAAGTGATTCACATAGAATACATGGCAATTCCCCTTCCCATATTTTCTCCTCCCACTATAGTCTCTACCCTTCCATTGTCTTCGGGGAAGCCCTCTGGTTCTTCATCATTCATGATCAATCAATAAACCAGTTCTTACTGTACAGATGTTGCACCAGGTTTGATGTTGAGTGTCAGGAACACAAAGAGATCAAATCTACCTGTGGAGAAGCCACGCTAATAAGAGAGTCCATTCCTCACTTCTGCATTGTTCTTAACAGTGCACAAATACAATTTTAGAAAACCTTGCGAGGTGGGTAAGCCAAGGCAGGGTTTATCACTCATAATTTGTAGATAGGAAAACTGAAGCTCAGAGATGGGGCATAAAGGAGGACTCTGTTATGCCTCTTTGTCTCACTCTCAGTTGGAACAGTGACAGAACAAGCCATAACATTCTAACACAATTAGAAGAACCAGAGGCCATACAGGAATTCAGAAGAGAAGGAGAGGAGAGGGAAAGGAAATTTTCTGAAGTTACTGGGGATGTGAATTTTAATGTCAGAACTAAACAAAACTCTTCACCTAACTTCTCATTCTTCAGGACCCAGCTTCGGTGTGGTTCATTTCCCCAGTGATTCCCTCTGCCTTATAACTCATTCCTTGTGTGGTAAAAATCCATTTGACTGGGAGCTCCCCAAGCAGGGACTGTGCCAGTCATCATCAGAGCTCAAGACCAGTGGAGTAGTAGGTGCTCAGTGAGTATTTGTTGAATGAAGGAGGTTGGAATGAGCAGGGAGGGCATGGTTGAGGGGATACAGACATTGGGGCTCATGAAAGCTTAGCTCAGCATGGAAGATCCTGTGCTGGGCTGTGGGGACCCTGAAGTGAATCAGACACAGTTCCTACCCTTGAGGAGCTCCTAGTCTAGTGTGTAAGAGAGACACTTTAACAACATTTTAGAGATTAAGTGCTGAAACAGTGGAAAGGTAAGGGATGTGAGGGTAGAGAGAAAATTCCTCACCAAGTCTGGGGGCTAGGGAAGATTTCTCCAAGAAACCAGATATCAGCTAGATGAAGACATATGACTGAGTATTCACATGAGAACATACATGTGTAGCACACCAGGCAGGGGAAATGGCATGAGCATAAATAAGTGGGCAAAAACACAGCATTGATATATGCTAGAAGGAGAATAGTAGTTTATTATCATTATAGCAAAAACCCAAAATGGTGAGAGATGAAATCAGTAGGAAGCTAACGTAAAGAGCTTATATGTCATGCCAAGGAGATGATTTCACTGTCTTCTCAAAGGTACCCAAAGTACTGAGAACTCTGATTCAAGCTACCAACTCATGGGTCTAGTCAGGTCAGAATAACTCCCAATTACCCCCACCCAATTACTGTCAGACTCCTGGAAGGCCCTTTATCAGTAGGTCCTGGTGGTAACCTTTTCCTCAGGTTCATTAATAAAGAATCTCATGGTCTGAGAATCTAGTGAGGCTAGAAAGTTGACAACCAATTAAGCAGACTAGCCATTCCTCACCCCCATTCATTTCTTCCCTCTAATTGGCTTCAGAACAATGAGATTTCTGCTGTCTTATTTGTAGCCCAATTCTTAAATCACTCTATTATGTTCCCCTATGATGGTGTCTACCTTTCCTGTCCAAAGGCAGTTGTTACGGATCCACAGACTGTGTGTCTACATTGCCTTCTTCTGAACTTGACCTCAGATTTTATTCAGAAATTCACAACTAGCTAAATTTACCTCTCCTCATTCTGACACTGCTCTAAAATATTTCTCCACTATTATTATTTTCAAATCCCTTCTTCATCCTACTCTGATACCTCCTCATCTCCATCATTTATCATTCTTCAACTCACAATTCTCTTGTCATTGACAATTTTGGCAAGGGACTCACTTCTTTTCTACCCTAGGCTTACTCTTATTCTCAGGTACCCTGAATTTCATGTGAACAATCGATCTAATACTTTGGCCTATTAATTTCTTAACCATTTAATTTCCATTGTCCTTTTCCATTTTGCTTCAGCTATGCCCTTGTCTTATTACTTGAACTATTTTGACTTGGATTTGCAGCTTTAGAACTGAAAGTGGTCTTATTAATTTTATATCAGCCACACTGGCTCAAAACTCAAGACCCTTACATTAGTCAATTTTTCATCACTATAACAAAATATTTGACATAAACTTCTTAGAAAAAAAGAGGTTTATTTGGATCACAGTTCCGGAGGTTCAACGTCCTAGGCTTTGTGGTGAGGGCTGTCCCTTAACTGCATCATTTTATGGCCAATAACAATGGTGGGAGTGTGTGTGGGAGCAAGAAAATTATATATCTTGAGCCAGGAGGCAGTGAGAGCTGGGTGGGGCCAGGTTTGCTACTTTTATGACAACCCTCTCAAGAGAACTCAAGAGTGTCCTGAAAACTTCCTTCCAAGAGCACACCCTCAATGACCTAAACCTTCTACCCGGCTCCACCTCATAAAGATTTCACTACCTTCCAATTTTGCCACCCTGGGGACAAAGTCTTCCATCACAGTGGACCCTTGGAAGGCCCTCAAACTACATCCACACCATAGCAACCCTGCATGGCCTGGCCTCTGTATACTTCTCCAGCTTCATCTTTGGCTTGCTCTGTGCATACAATGTACCTCTCCCCTCTACCCCCAATAGCACTTTGCTCATTGTTTCAATCAGATTTCAACCAAGGAAATGGGAACTACTCTTAGCATATAATCCAGAGGACATTGGTTACATAGGTGATGGAAGAACTGAGAAGCTGAATACAATAGAGGAAACCCAGAGATTACCAGTGGGAAAAAATAGTATTATTAGAGGCAAAGAAAGCTGGAACCAATGGAGTAAGAGTCAGAGAAGAGGAGCAGCCACTGCTGAAGTAGCCATCCAGGGACTCCAATTCCAGGAAGCATAATATTTTAGGGTCTCTGCCTCCATATGATCTTCAGAAAGGGGCTTCTCATCCCTTTCCTGGATATGATTGGAGATAACTCTGGCCAGAGCTCAGGGAGGCTAGTAAAAAGGAAGCATGTTTCTGCCTACAAGGGAAAGAGAGTGTTTAAAATGTGGTCTTGAAACACATGTATACCAGCATAGGGTAGTGGGAAAAGTGCCCACAGAATAATAGTTTGGAGAGGGTTGCAGGAGAAAAAAAGAATGGGAGAAGGAATGATAACAAACAGTTTAAGGACTGGCACAACCATCTATTCAAAGAATATTAAAATTTTCTCTATAAGATTTTTGTTTCCCTAGTCAATAAGTTTCTTTTTTTTAAAATATTTTTTAGTTGTCGAGAGACCTTTATTTATTTATATGTGGTGCTGAGAATCAAACCTTGTACCTCACACATGCCAGGCAAGTGCACTACCGCTGAGCCCTAGCCCCAGCCCTAGCCCGTCAATAAGTTTCTTATGGGCAGGGAACCCATTCACCTCTGTGGCCCCAGGATCCATCATGCATTCAGTGACTAGAATTCAATTCAATCCATCATGCATTCAATTATGCACTGCCTAACCTACTAGAGATTTTAAATGTCTACCTATTGGCAACTGGCTTGCTGTGTCTCCTTGTGGGAGGAATATATCTCCCATCCCATCAACATTAGGTTGATGATAGGACTTACTTTGACCAATGGATATGGGCAGAAGTAATGTGACCCAAGTCCCAAAAGAAGCTGCATAGTTTAGCCATTCTGGGTTGGATCCCAGAGTAAGAAGGCACAGGAATGGAGTCACAACTGACTTGCAGCTGGTACATAATATGAGTGAGAAGTAGACCCTTATCATGTAAGCTCACCTGGTTGGTTGTTACCACAACATATTCTAAAGAAATATCATTAATATTGTGACTGAGGTAAAAATTTAAAGAGAAATCATGGCAGGCTTTGGGGGAAACACTATTGGATGACAAAATAACAATATTAAGATTTGAGTCTAAAGACTGAGTTTGAATACTGAGACTGCCGTCTACTACTTATATGGCTTAGAATAGCTACATTATCTTAAAGTTCAAAAATAGACATGGGATCTGGCATGGCTCAGTATGTGCAAGAAACATGAGTGGTCTGGACTCAGCTTCTTCTTCAGTAAAATCACTGATTTACTGCAGGGCTGGTAACATGCAACTGTACAGGTACAGACACAACTGATGATAATACCATCTAACTAGCTGGGTGTGAGGATGAAGGGCACAAGAAAATTGCTATGAAAGCACATTGTGAGTTACATCACTGTTAGTTATTATCAGTGCCAACTAGTTCTTTGTTTCTCTTCAACCAGGCTCAATGATATAAGGTTTCTATAATTCATCTCAACCCTCCAAATATTTAGTGAACACATAAAATAAGCAAGGCAAAGTAAAAAGGGTCTGTGGGGTGAGTAATAAGTAGAGGAATTGTGTGAATCAAAATGAAATCAGGGCTGGCACTCGGTGGCAGAGCCCTTGCCTGGCATGCATGAGACACTGGGTTCAATCCTCAGCACCATGTAACAAACTAAATAAACAAAATAAAGGTAATTTTAAAAAATGAAATCAAGCTTGGTAGCACATGCCTGTAATTCCAGCAGCTCTGGAGGCTGAGGCAGGAGGATCGAGAGCTCAAAGCCAGCCTCAGCAATTTAGTGAGGCTCTGAGCAACACAGTGAGACCCTGTCTCTAAATAAAATACAAAAAAGGTGGGTATATGGCTTAGTGGTTAAGTGCCCCGGGTTCAATCCCTGGTATTAAAAATTAAAAAAAAAAAATCAAAGTTGGATATATCTAAATAGAGCCACTCATTAAACTAATCCACACCCCATTTTTCAAACAGACAAACAGACCCAGAGAGAGGAAGCAAGATGTTCAAGGTCAGAAGCAAAAAGCTCCTAACTCCTAGTCTGGGTGCACTTTCCCACTACACTATGCTAGTATACATTTCAAGCCCACATTTTAAACACTCTCTCTTTTTCTTATAGGCAGAAGCACATTTCTTTTTTTACTAGCCTCCCTGGACTCTAACCAGAGTTATTTCCAAACAGATGCAGGAAAAAAGGATATGTCAAGCTAAGAAACAGAGTACAGTTGAGTCCTGGGTCTAGTAGACTTCCTAGTTGCATGAGCTAATAAATTCTATATTTTTTTTTTAGAAAAGCTAATTTGACTTGGAATTTTATCACTTGTAATAACAACAGTCCTAATTCAAGCAGAACTTATCACAACTAACATCTTTTTTTGAGATATAATTCACATACCACACAATTCACCCATTTGAGGATCAAACCCAGTGCCTCATGCATGCTAGGCAAGAACTCTACCTCTGAGCCACAACCCAGCCCCCCCGCATTTGCAATTCTTAACATGCATCTAGGTTTATTTATATAGTTATTTGTTTAATGTCTCTTTCCATGCTAGTTCCATGATGGTAAGAATTACAACTGTTTTGTTCACTATTATATCCTGAGTGACAGGACAGAACCTGATGCAGAGTATGTGTCTAATAAACATTTTTCAATGAATAAGTGAAACATATGAATGATTATCTACCCTGTGCTGGATGCTTGAGATACTGAAACAAATCAGACATATTCTCTTTTCTTAAGGGCTAGGAAGAAATAGATAAATATGTAAATAGGCAAATTCTAATAAGCAATAGAGGAAAGCTCAGAAAGTTATGTAGGACAGAGATAGGTAACTTTGATCTACCCAAATTTAACCAATTCATTAAGGCCTTCTTCAAGTACCTCCCTAAATCCTGCACTAAGAATTAGCTCATTTTCTATCTGCATTCCTGTGTGCTGGCAGTGTCTCAGGGGACTGTGGATTGAAGGTATAATGGGATAACCTGAAGTTATCCAAGTGTGGGCTTTACCACATGCTTACTGGTCTGTGAACCAAGAGGAGGCACTTTCTGGAATCTGAGAACCTTTGTAATAGAGTAGGAACAGCAAGGCCCAAGATGACCCAACTACCCCATTTATTAGGCCCTTACAGTGTGCTAATTTCTAGTCCAGTCCACTTTGGAGAATAAGGGTGAGGACACATAACACACCTCTCTCTCTCTCTCTCTCTCTCTCTCTCTCTTCTAATACACATAATACAAATATACAACACATAATTCACATTTGTACTTCAGAAACTGTCAGAGAATATAACTTTATGTTCCCTATTCCTTAACACTTAAAACATTTGCCAGACACAGTGGTGCATGCCTGTAATTCCAGCAGCTCAGGAGGCTAAGGCAGGAGGATTATGAGTTCAAAGCCAGCCTCAGCAATGGCGAGGCACTAAGCAACTCAGTGAGACCCCCCAAAAAAATACAAAATAGGACTGGGGATGTGGCTCAGTGGTTGAGTGCCCCTGAGTTCAATCCCCAGTATTTCAAAACAAACAAACAAACAAAACATTTAAGGTGTGACAAATACATACTTAGACTGGCTAAAAGTCCAAACAGTCCATCTTTTCCTCTAGAGGAAGATATCATATATTCTACAGACATGGAACTCTTAGATTGAATTCCAATAGTTACAATAAAATAAAATCAAAACTGCTCTTTTAGGCAAAGTAGGTATGGGTTCCTCTATGTGGCCACTGAAACATGCCTGGGTACCTGGGCCTCAGTGGAGTATAGGAACAAAATGTTCCAACCTTGGAAAAAGCATCACTGAGCTTCATATGCAAATCACATAGTTTTGCCTTCTATATAGTTACTTTTGTTGTGAATTGTGTTTTGGTGAGAACCATCAGTTTACATTGAAAGAAATGTTAAGAAACAATCTATGATGTTCAGTGTTGTTGGAAGGATGTATAATATCAAGGACATGGTTACATTCAGTATAGAGAGTCTTCTCTGTATTTGCCAATGAAAAGCAATGCTTCTCTGGAAAAATAGGTTTGTTTTTATATTAAGAACATTCCCTCTTTGCAATGTTCTCTAGGAAGCTCAAAGGCAATATTTTGGCCCAATTCTTTCAAGTTCACAAGAAAATTATTATAAAATATATTTATGCGACACATATATATCCATACATATATGCACACATACACACATGCATTATGTACATACCAAGTTGCTCTGCAAGGAGCCTGCCCTTCTCAGTGGGAACAACTCTCTCTTCTTCCATGTCACATTTGTTCCCCACCAGAATAACCTGTGCATTGTCCCAGGAGTAGGTCTTGATCTGAGTAGCCCTAAAAAAGAGAGAGAAATATGCTATAGATGGAAAGTTTGTGTCTCTTACATTCACAAGTTGAGCCCAACCCTACTTGTAATGGTTTTTAGAGGTGGAGCCTCTTGAAGCTAATAATGACATGAAGATAGAGCCCCAGTAAATGGGATTAGTGTCCTTACAAGGAGAGAGAGATAGAATGTGCTCTCTCTCAGCCATGAAAAATGATACAATCAGAAGGACGCTGTCTTTAGACACTGGGTGGATATACTGGTATCTTGGTCTCAGACTTCCTAGTCTTCTGAACTGTGAGAAATAACTGTTCGTCATTTAAACCACTGATATTCTTGTTGTAACAGCTCAAAATGACTAAGACACACATCCTCCTAGGTTGAAAAGGGAATTTCAAAAGTCCAAGAAGCAGTTTCCCTTCACAAAACTAGTGAGTTGCTGCCAATTTATTTAGCTGAGGACAGACACACACATACCTACCCACACTGGCTGTCACAGATTCTGACCCCCAAACCTTGGCTGCAAACTCACCCATCTCTTTGGAGTCCTTTAATATTTTGTCAATCTTCTTACTGGGCAGAGAGCTCATTTTAAAATGTGTATCTGACTACGATGTGACCTTTTTAAAAATATTTTTAGACCTTTATCGTTTTTTTAATTTTCAGTGGACACAACATCTTTATTTTTATGTGGTGCTGAGGATCGAACCCAGCACCCCATGCATGCCAGGTGAGCAGCGCTACCGCTTGAGCCACATCCCCAGCCCTACAATGTGGCCTTTTTAAAAAATCTTCTCTAGAGGGTCCCAGACTAGCTGTGATCAAGTCCAGGTTCTTCAGTTCAAAACCATTCATGTCAGGTCTCTCCAGGCTCATTGTACCTCATCCTGCCTCACAAGTCTCACTCCTTCCTCAAATAAGGCATTAGGTCATGATTATTTGTAGATGCCAAAATATCAACAGTGATTTCCTTCATATAAGATGATTATGAAAATTTTTAAAAATATGTGTCAAATGTTTGTCCTTAAATTTTTGAAAGTAAACGGCCATTATTTCTAACCTTAGAAACAAAATTTTAGCAGAGGGAATAAAGTAGGATCCTAACATTGTAGAGACATCATTTTGTGTGGGTGGATGGGTCTCTGTCCCAACCACCTCATCACATGAAAACCCTGTACCTTCACCATGCCACCTATTATACTTGGTTAAATTTATCTGTCTCTGAGGGCAGGAATAAGTGTATTCATCTTTGGGATGCCAGCACCTTGTACAGAACAGACTTGGTGTTGGTGAATGTCTGGATCAGCAGATGGTTAATCCTGAATCATATCTTGAATTGACTCTATTCTGATACTGAGATTCAATCTACATGAACCCTAACTGCATCCTAGACCTATTATTGAACCTGCTACTAAAACAGGTCCCATCACCAATCATCATCTATGGTAAGAAGCCATTCCCCTTGAAGGATGGAATTCACTCAATCACCATTTGTTGTAGGCCCACAAAGATTCAGGCCTCATTTGGGCACTAGAGCTTTGATGGCAGGTGGAGACTAGGCTAAGACCAAGTTGCCTAGAAGGAAAACTCAAAGGCCAGAGCTTTGGAGTCTTTGGATTCAAGGCAGGTACCTGAAGCCAACTCTCCTATCTCTCCATGTTACTCTTCCTTTTATCTTCCTCCCTCCTCCCACCCCATCCTCTCTCAGCTCCAAGATTAGAAACAAGCTCAGGTTATTCTTGGAAAAGTCGTCACCAGGTGTTAAAGTCACCATGTTCTTGAGAAAGAATGAACAGAGACTGATGGAGGGGAGAAAAGGGGCCAAGGCATACAGAAATGAGCAGTGTGGAAACACTTATAAGGCTAATCACTCTGTGGGAGGTGTGGTAAGAGAGAGAAAATGGAGAGGGAAGGAGTGAGGAAGAGGAAAAAAATCATAACTGAAAAGAATAAAGAGAAGAAGAAGGGAAAAGAGAAGAAGGGAAGGAGAAAGAAGGACAGTAGAGGGAAGAAGTTGTTAAAAAGGAAGGGGAGAAAAGGGGAAAGAGGATGATGACTGAGAGGCAGAAAAAAGAACACAGGTTCCCAGGAATGACATGGCATCTTGGACTGTTGGTCACAACAGAGAAATGGAGCAGGCAGCCTGTAAGATCACACCCAGTTCAAGGCTCCAAGTAGCCAATAATGCTTCACATAATCATGACAACTACTCTTTGGGAAGAGGGAAGTCCTCAAGCTGCTATGGTTTAGATGTAGTTTGTCCCCAAAGAGTCATGAATTGGAAGCTTGGCTCCCAGGGTGGTAATGTTAAGAACTGGTGGACCTTTAATAAGTGAGGCCTAGTAGGAAATAATTAGGTCATTAAGGACACTTCCCTCTAAAGGAATGGATATAATTATTGAGGGACTCTAGTTAGTTCTTTGTGAGAGGTTTCATAAAGGAGCAAGACTAGTCCCCTCCCAATCTCTCTCTGGCTTCCTTTCTTACCATGTGCTCTTTCCCTTTTGCTCATGTTCCTGTCTTGATGCCATCTGTCATGATATGATGTAGCCAGGAGAACCCATGCCAAAGCCAGTGACATACTGTGTGGACTTTCAACCTCCAAAACTGTGAGCAAAATAAACTTCTTTTCTTTCTAAAGTATCCAGCCTTAGGTATTTTGCTATAGCAACAGAAAACTAACTAATATAGCAGCTATGGGCAAAAGATAACAAGAGAAAGGCTTGGCACTGGCCAGCATTGTAGCTGGGTACCTGGCTCACCCAATTCTCTGATTCTGAAGAACAGCCATGGCACAGACATCTCACCTTCTCACATCCTCCTTTGATTAAAGGCACTAGGAATTGGCCTTTCCCTGTCACATGCCCATTCCCTTCTCCTCCTTTCTCCATGTAAGTAACTCCTCAAGAAAAAAGACATTATTTGCTCAGTGTACTGATTTCTATTGCAAATTGAACCTTCATGAACTTGAACTAGATTTGCTATTAGGCCCCAAACCCAGCCCAGGGATAGTGAAGTATCATGTGAATTCACTCTCCACTATAGACAGTGGAGATTATAGAATAATCTTCCTGAAACATAAATCTGAATTTGTTGATTTTCATTTCAAATGTTGTCACCTATGAGATAAAATCCAAACCCCACCATATAAAATCTTTCATGATCTGTGCTCTTCTCTCCCTCTCACCAACCTTCTTATCTTTGCACATCTATATTCTTTCTCTGAAAATTCTTATCTATTTATCCCTCAAGCTAACTCCTGTTCAGTTTATAAAATGTAGTGTATGTGTCATCAACCTCAAGACATTTTCTCTCTCTTAACTGAGATAGACAGCCCTCCCCTGGGTTCCCACAATCCTGATGTCTCAATTCATCACTGTACCTGTCACATAATATTCTTGTAGCCTGCTTCCTACTCTGACTTCTCTCATCTGAGAACTCCGTGAGAGCAGGAGCCATGTATGAGTCATCTGGCTTTCCCTAACATACAGTATAAAGCCTAGTGCACGTTAGATTTTCATGAACAGTTTGCCAAGTGAATGAATGAATAAATGAGTTTTGTACCAGTCCTGGACAGCATTGAAGGACTCTTCATTGGTGATGTCATACATGAGAATGAAGCCCATGGCCCCACGGTAATAGGCTGTAGTGATGGTCCGATACCGCTCCTGTCCAGCTGTGTCCTAGATGGGAAAAGGGGGAAAAGGAAAAAGTCAGCTTCCTAGAAAGTCTGCTTTGGTTCCTAAAATGTCCCCCCAGACAATTAACTCATAATCTAAGGCATATTTAAGGAGTGTTTATTATGTATTGTGCTTGTGACTAGAATAAAATGATTTTTAAAACTTCATAGAAATAAAAAAATTATTAAAATCCCAATAAAAATTGGCAAGACATGAATAGCTTCTACAAGGAAATACAAATATAATAAATAAATATTATGTTAAAAGCCTTAATCTTTTTTTAAGTGGACACAATACCTTTAATTTATTTACTTATTTTATGTGGTGCTGAGGATCAAACCCACATGCAAGGCAAGCACTCCACCACTGAGCCACAATCTCAGCTCCACCCCAAAAGCTTTAATCTTTTTCTTTTTTAAAAAAATATTTATGGGGCTGGGATGTGGCTCAAGCGGTAGCGTGCTCGCCTGGCATGCGTGCGGCCCGGGTTCGATCCTCAGCACCACATACAAACAAAGATGTTGTGTCCGCCAAATACTAAAAAATAAATATTAAAAAAATATATAATGTAGGTGGTTTTTATGTGGTGCTGAGGATCAAACCCCGTGCCTCATATATACTAGGCGAATGCTCTACTTCTGAGCCACAACCCCAGCCCTAATCTTATTCTTAATAATAGTTCTCATTATAGATGAGGATGCATTGAAATGTACAAACTTGTTTGTGGGAGCAGAACTTTTGTTAAACCTTTTTGGAAAGCAATTTGGAAGTTTCAATAGCATTAAAAATGTTAATACCCTTGGCCCCAGAATATTCCTTCTAAATATTTTCCTACAAAAATCAGATAAATATTTACACACAAATGTGTTATGACTTTATTTTTCATCAATTTATATATTCAACAAGAGGAAAACGGTTAAAATATAAGAATTTTTATGTAAATGAATATAAGAATACTTATTGACATGGGACAATGCTTATAGATGTGATATAGTATCAATACCACAAATTTATATGTGGAAATGAAAACTATTAAAGAAAACACACCAATAATAGATATTATCTCTGAATAACAGACAAGAATTACTGCTGACAAAAATGAGGCCTTGAGGGCTGGGGCTGGGGCTCAGCAGTAGTGCACTTGCCTGGCATGTGTGAGGCACTGGGTTTGGTTCTCAGCACCACATATAAATAGATAAAAAAATAAAATAAAAATGTTTATCAACAACTAAAACAAAAATAATTTTTTAAAAATGAGGCCTTAAATGCAGGACATCTGATTCTAAATCTAATGATTTATCCAAAGGCATTTATTGAATACCATCTATAATAATAATAAAAATAAGAAATGATCACAATAATAATTACAGAGTGTCATTATTTGTATATGCATTGCACTTGTATCAAGAAACTTAAGAAAAATCAAGTAGATGTGTTATGATACTCATCTGATAGATGAGGAAACAGATTCAGAGAGATTATCCAATACATGTCAGAACCAAGATTCAAATCAAGTCTATCCTACTCCTATATCCATTATAATATATTGCCTTAGCCATGACCATACTTTGTGTGATATAAAAATGGAACTAGAGGAGCTGGGATTGTGGTTCAGTGGTAGAGTGCTTGCCTAACATGTGTAAGGCACTGGGTTTGATTTTCAGCACCGCATATAAATAAGTGAACAAAATAAAAGCCCATCAATGTTTAAAACAATATTTTTTTAAATGGAACAAGAACCACCCCTGTTCTCAGGAAGCCTCTGTAGAATTGTGGAAGTGGTTAAGACATACCAGTGAACTGATAATTAGCAATATGAGACAGTATGTCATCAGAACCAGTTAAATGACACAGAGAAAATGTGAAATATAAGTTCAGGTAAGGAGAAATTGGGGAAGTTATGGAAGATATCAAAGCAGAGGTAACATACATTATACAAGTCAGGACTCTTCAATTACAAGCAATCTCCAAATCTCAGCAGTTTGAACACAAAGTTTTTATTTTTCATTGTTGGTATATGCCCACTAAGGGTTGGATGGGTGTTCTGCTTTGGGTCCTTCTGATTCCAGGATAAAGACTGACAGAGAACTTCCAAAAGGAAAGATAGTGCGTGAGTCATGTGTTGGCCTGTAAAATTTCTACTTTCCCACTTCACTAACCAAAGCAAGTCAGGTATCCACACCCAAATTCCAGGGGGTAAAAAAGTACAATCTCATAACATACCCAGGAGTAGAACCAGAAATATGTGGAAGACAGCATACCTATTTCCATAGGTAGACTCTGCACTGAGCCCGGGAGCATTGCCTGAAGATGTGCTTATTTGGCAATACAATGAGGACAATAGGGACTTTCTTATTTTTATTATTTGTTCTAATTTGTTATGCATTACAGCAGAATGCATTTCAATTCATTGTACACAAATGGAGCACAACTTTTTATTTATCTGGTTGTATGCGATGTATCATTGCACCATATGTGTAGTCATACATTTACCTAGAGTAATGATGTTCCACCATCTTTCCTGCCCCCATGCTCCCTCCACTCCCCTCCCTTCCCTTTGTCCAATCAGAGTTCTCCATTCTCCCCACACCCCACTTATCAGAGAGAATATTTGGTCTTTGGTTTTTGGGATTGACTTACTTCGCTTAGCATGATATTCTCAAACTCCATCTATTTACCTGTATATGCCAAGATTTAATTCTCTCTTAATGCTAAGTAGTATTCCATTGTGTGTATATGTATGTGTGTGTGTGTGTGTATCATAGTTTCTTTATCCATTCATCTATTAAAGGGCATCTTGGTTGGTTCCACTTTTCAGCTATTGTGAATTGAGCTGCTATAAACATTGATGTGGCTGCGTCAGTACAGTAGACTGATTTTAGCCTCATGCATGTTAGGCGAGCACTCCACCACTGAGCCACAACCCCAGCCCCTGGAGTGAAATTCTTAAATTTTAAGATTTTAAGTCCTTTGGGTATAGACAGAGGAGTGGGATAGCTGGGTCAAATGGTGGTTCCATTCCAAGTTGTCTAGGGAATCTCCATACTGCTTTCCAGATTGGTTGCACTAATTTGTAGTGCCACCAGCAATGTATGAATATACCTTTTCCCCCACATCCTTACACTTATTATTACTTGTATTCTTGATAAAATGCTGGAGTGAAATTCTTTTTTTATATATTTATTTTTTAGTTTTAGGTAGACACAGTATCTTTATTTTACATTATGTGGTACTGAGGATTGAACCCAGTGCCTCATGCATGCTAGGCGAGCACTCCACCACTGAGCCACAACCCCAGCCCCTGGAGAGAAATTCTTAAAGAATTTTTTAAACAGAAAAGTAGAGAAAACATATTTTGGCAACAGGAAGAATTTTTGCCAATGTGTACTCCAGAAGAATTTAAAGAATGGTGGGAAATGGGTAAATGACAAAGCTAGAAAGAGCTTTGAGTGCTGTGCTATGGAGTATGGACTTTATCTTTTAGGAACAAAGATTTTGAGGCAGGGATTAACATAATTAGATGTTAGCTTCGTCAGCTATGGTGGCACAAACCAGTAGTCTCTGTCACTCTGAAAGCTGAAGCAGGAGGATCAAAAGTTCAAGGCCAGCCAGGGAAATTTAGCAAGAGCCTGTTTTAAAAAATAAAATATCAGTATTTTAACAAAATCAACAGCTTTCCTATGCATCAATAATGAATCTGCTTAGAAAGAAATCAGGAAAACAATTCTTCACAATAGCCTCAAAAAAAAAAAAAAGGAATAAATCTAACTAAGGAAGTGAAAGACCTCTGCAATCAAAATTACAGAATGCGGAAGAAAGAAATTGAAGAAAACACCAGATCTTCCATGCTCATGGACAGAATTAATATTGTTAAAATGGTCATATTACCAAAAGTGATACACAAATTTAATGCTGTTTTCATCAAAATACCTATGATGTTCTTTACAAGACTGAAAAAAACTTCTAAAATTCATTGAAAGAATAAAACCCAGAATATTCAAAGCAATTCAAAGAAAAAAAAAAAAAAAGCAATGCTGGAGGCATCATAATACCCAACTTCAAATTAAACTATAGGGCAATAGTAACAAAATGGTACTAGCATAAAAACAGACACATAGACCAATGGAATAGAAGACAAAGACAAACCCACACAGACACAGTCATCTGATCCTGGTCAAGGAGAAAAGATAGCTTTTTTTTTTTTAAAGATATTATGCTGGGAAAACTGGTTATCCATATGTAGAAAAATGGGACTAGATCCTTATTTCTTACTCTAAACAAAAGTCCACTCACAATGGATCATAGATCTAGAGATTAGACTGGAAATTTTGCAACTGCTGGAAAAAAACATAGGGTCAACACTCAAACATGTAGGTGCAGGCACAGGCAACAACTTCCTCAAATAGGACCTCTAAAACTCCAGAAATAATACTAAGAATTAATAAATGGGATATTTAAAAACTTCTGTTTCTGCAGCAACAGAAACAATTAAGAATTTTAATAAAGGACTTATAGGGCTGGGGCTCAGAGACAGGACCTATAGAGCTAGGGCATGCATGAGGCACTGGGTTTGATCCTCAGCAATGCATAAAATAAAATAAAGATATTGTGTCCACCTATAACTAAAAAATAAATATTAAAAAAAGAAAGGACCTATAAAATGGGAGAAAATCTTTGCCAGCTACCATTCTGACAGAGACTATCTAAAATATGTAAAGAACTCAAAACACTTAACACCAAAAAACCAAACAGCCCAATCAATAAGTGGGCAAATGAAATAAACAGACAGTTCTCAAAAGAAGAAATACAAATGACCAGCAAATGAAAAAACGTTCAACCTTTTTAGCAATTAGGGAAATGCAAATCAAAACTACAATAAGTTTTTATCTCACTCCAGTTAGAGTGGCAGTCATGAAGAATATAAATAATAATAAATTCTAGAGAAGATGTGGAGAAAAAAAGAACACTTTTATACTACTAGGATTGTAAATTAGTACAACCAC